TATTTTTCATGCATGTGTTATTTTTATTTGTGGCGAGAGTTCACGTTCCAGAATGCTTTTAGAGTTTTGGAGCAAAACGAGTTTTCTTCGTCCGAGTCACCTTCTAGAACCAGTAGACCGCACTGGGTCGTCCGGCTAATCAAGCAGCTATTTTCAAATTCTCTGACGTGCCCGTCCTCGCATCCGAGGTCGCCGTTTGACAAGCTTATCTTTTGTTCCACCTGGTAGCCGGAACCCCCACGGGAGCTTTGTTCCGTCCCCACTCCCTCTCGAGAGGATAGCTCGCCCTGAGGCTAATCCCACTCTCTAGACGCTCTTTCTATTCAACGCTGACCGTTTCCCTCCTCGTCCCCCACCTTCGGGAGTGAAGGTTCTTCCCTGCAGAACGTCCCGTTTGTACAGCGGCCTTTAACCATCTGAGTGCACCCATGCAGTCAAGGAAATGGATATTCGCTCATTTCTCTGTCTTACGGGGTAGTACCAACAATACATTACGAACTACTAGATTTCTAGGCTCTCACTGATAGTTTGCGAGACGCTGAGTAAGCCTATCTGGAGATAAACTCAGAAAGACATCGCTTGTGCTCTAGAGAATCGCTCTCCTGTGAGCCTGTTTTGTCGTCACCTGGCTTCAACTAGTCATATGTTGTCCAGTGAAACGCGTCCAGTGCTTGGCGCAGTGCTCGACTATACTTTCTTTCATCCTTAGTCAGGACGCAGCCGACGCTTTAACCCGATGGAACCAATCAAAACAACGTTGAAAGTGCAATGTCATGATGTTCGTCAAGTGTCTGTACGTGCTCTATCATCGCTGAACCAATCATATACAGGAAGAATCCAGTGAGAATCGTGTTTTTTACTCAGATTGATTGGTCCCGTCATCTCGGAGCGTTGACTGCGTTTGGGATTAAATTGAAACTACGCATGGATGAACGAGGACACGACAGCGAGCACACCCAGTGATGTTTATCAAACCTATTCTACGAGGTGTGATCAAAAGGCTCCTGGACTGATTTTGTAGCGTAAAAAGAGAGGGCAGCACAGTGATGGGCGCGGAGCAGCTGAGGGAAAAGACCTTCGTGCATCGTTAAATCCTAAAACTTCGCTCTGTGAACATTTGGAGCTGCGCTACATGAGTTTTTGTGACCACGTGCACGAGCACAATTGCGATTTCATCATAGACTGCAAACTAAGGGGAAAGAAAACATCAATTCTACGTCGAACTCGGCAAATACAAAACAAAGACTTTTGAAATGATCCGGCAGGCTTGTGTTAAAAAGGAGTGAAATTCGCGAAGTGTTTTAAGTGGCACTTGCGCTTCAGGAATGACAGAACATCGCTGGAAGACGAAGAGCGGTATGGCGACCTTATCTGAACTCTCCTTGACTTCAGTGATGTTCTGCCATTCTTCAGGCTCGAGTGCGAGTCAAAACACCTCGCACACCTCGCACACCTTTAAACATACGCCATCTAAATTATCTCAAAGGTCTCTGTTTTAGATTTGCCGAGTTTTACGTAGAATTGATGTTCACTCTACCTTTGGTTTCCAGTCTATGGAGAGATCGTCATTATGCTCGTGCATGTGGTCAAAGAAACTCCTGTACCGCAGTTCCAACTGTTCACAGAGCGACGGCCTTTGGCTCCTGCGCCAACACCTCCCAGATAACAAAGCCGTAGTGCTGACAGAGATGACGTCATCACCGAAGGCCAACGCTGGGCACAGATTGTACACGACGATTCCATCAACGTTCGGCTCAAACTTCACTCGAATCCGAGCGCTGATGCAGCACTCGTGCCCATCTTTGCCCAGCTTTGGTCTTCACTGGAGACGCAAAAAGTGTCAGCACTACGGCCTTGTCTTGTAGGCGGTGTTGGCTGCGCGCACGTCACCGTACTGCCCACTCTTTTTACGCTACAAGATCAGTCCCGGAACTTTATGATCACACCTTATATGCGATACGTACACAGTATCACTCGCATAGTGAACGACCACAAATTTCTGGGCTTAAACAGATGGTATACTTTAAAAAAAAGGTACGAATGACACTGGCATCACACTCTTCACTGTATCTATGTCAGACTGACGCAATCTTCTTTTTATCCCACAGTTTAGGTTCTCTTGATATTGTCTTAACGGGTTTTCACCGAATTTCTAAGCGCAAAATGAATTAATTATTTCATAACAAAAGCTCCTAGTATTCTAGGCATTGATTAAATTCAGTCATGATGACGCCGCGTAGTTTCTTCTTACTGTTTTACCATTCTTCTGGTCTAGCAACATTGGTATTATAACATTTTGCTGGTGGTTAAATTAGAGTAACTATGCACTTATGCTGCTTTTTGTGTACGCCTTTTTGATTTATTGGTTTATAGTTAATATATTTTGTTTGTGGACACAGTTCCTCATGGGCTATCTATCCTTTGATAAAGATTTTGAAGACCTGTTTATGCTTTTGCCAGTGGCACACCATAGGCGTGTGCTCTCTTTGTCAGCGGCACTCAAAGGAAATTGTCTGTTTATTTTAGACCCACCCTGCTTGTGCCTGCGATGACCTCCAGTATATTATAAATGTATAAAGAAATAAGTTATCATGACTGCCCTCCCTTTCCTTTGCTACCGAATTCTTGTAAATTCACCAAGACTCGTAATTGCAGAAAAGTTCGACACGTCCTTTAAACGAGTTATTTTTTGCGAAATTCGCGACTTGGGTATTGATGCTAAAAATAAATGTTCCGAATATATTACTCCGTGGTGACGAAAAATTAACATACCACTCTCAATCGCGAAAGTTTGCGCGCGCTTAATATTCCTAAATCTCGCACTTCGCAAAGTTTCAGAAATATTCAGCCCGCAAAAATTAATTCGTTCACAGTATTCAGGCGCTTCTTTCCACTGAGCAGAGTATAGTCATAATTCAACATGCAATACTGAACCCAGTGCTGCCTGACCTATAGAAGTTACCTGTTGTCATCATCAAAGAGACCTTCCGGAGGAGCTGAATTAGTATTTCTACAGTGTGGACAGAATGCTGACTAAAACGTTTGAAGAGCCTGTCAGAAGCCGCTTCTAGTGCTTCGTAGTAATTAATATAGCTATTATGAGAGTGCAAGCACAAAAATCTCGCCAGCGGTGAAAGCAATACCATAGGATCAGATTCTTGGTATGGCATTTTAGTGAACGCGTTGAAGGACAATACTGAAATTCTCAGCAGGACATTAGAAAATAACATATTCACTCAAGCGGTATATAGCAGCCCGTACCCAGAGCTGTTTAAAGTAGTGAGTGTAATACGAAGATACAAGAATGGAGACACCCCACCATATTCAAACTGTTTATCAGTATCAGGGCTAAATAGTTTAAATACCCTTCTTGAAAAGCTTGTAGCAGCACGGTTTATCTCAAAATGAGTCAGAGTAGCGATGTGGGCGAGTTGGTTCATGCTTAGAAATAATGGAAACAGCGCGCAAACGACAAGGACGGGAGGAAAAGGAGTACACAGGACGAGCGCTGAACTGACAACTGAATATTTATTGAAAAGGACCCAACGACGAAAACACCCACAAATCCACGCTCAAAATGAGCGTGGATTTGCCAAATCAAATCAACAAACACTGCTGTTTTAACAATTAATCAATTTATTTTTTGCACTAAAACAACCTAATTTAAGTCGATATATTCCAGATATTCAAAAAAAAAGTTTTTGATAGGCCAATCGGAACATGCTAATAAATAATACGCAGAGATACGGCTTTCGCGGCTCTACACTAAATTATATTAAATAACGGCCTATGTCACGTTCCCGAATAGTAAGAATAGGAGATGAATTCTCCATAAGTAAGATTGTATCAACAGGAATACTTCGGGGTTCTGTACTGGACCAATACTGTTTTCTTTTACCAAAAAGAATTTCCCGAGCGCTGTTAGAAAACTGCTCGCTCTAATTAAACAGCGTTATTATCCATGGAAGATTCCAGAGAAATAATTCAAATGAAAATAAATTTTGAACCAAAGCACATAGAAAAGTTGTTTCTGTATAAGAAATTATATCTAAATGCACAAAAACAAATTGCATTGGTTTCTCTTGTTTTAAGGTACCCCGACTGAGGTACCTTAAAACAAGTTGGGTTGGGATAAACCTATTCAAAAGGTTGAGAGCGTAAAATATCTTAGAGTGGTTACTGACCGTTTTCAATGGGGAACTGCACATACAAGCCTTTTGTCAAATGCTAGTGCATAAATCTGCAGCTTGGTTAGAACTCTACAAAGCTAAAACACTCAGACTGAAATACTTTCGCACGACCTTTCAGTCACCTTCATTACTGTTTAAAATATCCGGGATTCGGTTTTTTTTTTTTTTTTTTCAAAGGTACTTTTAATTTGTAATAACACTACAGAAGAGCAATGCGGATTATAGCCAATGCATACTTTACTGTATGTAGGGCTTCATTATTTGAGATCCAACATACAATGTCGTTTAGCTCAATACATTATAAAACTTCTCCTATGAAGCACAACATTTTATTAACTAATAAATAATTACCACCATGGATATTTCAGTGATCGGGCAGGATCTCTGGAATTGTCCTGTTAAAAAATTTCAATACATCCTTATTTCTCAGCGTGTACGGGTAACGAAAGATATAATGTACGGAAACTAAAATATGAAGCGCTCTAGGCTACAGCAATCATAGAATCAAAACAGTCGTGGCAGCTCTTAAATACTTCTTTATGCATACGGCAGTAAGACGTTACCTTTATTTGTACTGCACGAACATGGGTGCCAAGACACCCTCGCAGTCATAATTACGTTTGTTATTGAATGCGTCCAAGACTAGCCAAATAGGCGACAGATACAGATACGTTGTGCACTAGTTTTATTACGTTTCAAAAGTGAATGAAAATTACTCGGTTGATGCTGAAGTTACTCCCATCATTATGCGCATCATGTTCGTATGTTTCACAATTTAATTGAATGGGAAGACGCTCAAGAAAGCCTTACCGAACAGACTGACGCGGGTGACAGTGGTCTGAAGCTGCCGCAAGCTCTCTTCCTCCAAGGTAGTGATGTGGTTGTGAGACAGGTCCAGTGTCCTAAGGGCCGGTAGCTCGTCACCAAAGTCCTTCGGTAGCAGCGTCAAGTTGTTGCCTCTGCATGACGATACGAAAAATTCAAATGGTCACTTGGTAGATTCGGTGACGCTTGGGAAGAGGGAAGACCGGGTGGGGAACTAAGTACGAAAGTTGTTTTCCCATTGCCTCAAACTTTGATATGCTGCGTTTTATGTTCGCGCCAGCAAACATGGCAATTCTTTCTCCCCTATTGTTCTACGGCATTTGACTCGCGCGTGTTGAATGTTTGACAGATATGGCAAGACCGAGCCATTTCAAGTATTTAACTTTCACTTAAATTTAGTTTTATCTGACGAAGACTTATGAGCTCCCCTTTCGCTTTCTCCAGAATAGACTTCATGAAGCGAATAAGCTGCGAATAAAAGCGATGTGTTTTGAGCGCCGGTATCCGCTTTGCGCGTGGCACCACAGCCGTGGTGCCACTCCCAAGAGCGACCATGCCGCCGGGTGACGTTTGTCGGTTTCTCGCCAAATATTTCCTCATTTAATTCTTCCCTTGTGGCTAGGGTACATCGCCATTTGCAATTGGCGTTACACGTAACATTTGTGTATAGCCTTAAATCGTACAATGAATGATATAAAACAGAACACACAGAAAATGTAGCGCTGTGTGGTACATAACAGGGCGAAATCTTCAAGTCACTGTGCCTCAAAATTAGTTTAACACATGAATAGACACGTCTCAACTAGGAACTGAACTTACAAGTCACCACATTATTATTTTTCCGAAGTTATTTCATTTTTATTGAACTGGCAACATTGAAAACGCGACGCCGAATGTAATTCGGGGCAGTGCGTACAGCTTGTTCCCAACAGTTACGAGAACTTTGATGGCGGGGAATGAATGCTGCAGAACAGGTACGTAGCCAGGGGGGGGGGGGGGGGGGGGGGGGGGAGCATAGGGCCCTCCCCCCGAAATCTTCTATTTTGCTGGGACCTTTTCTCCCCCTTCCACCTCATACAGCATTTTGTCACGAGCCCCCCCCTCGCCCCCACCCCTTCCCCTTCCCTTCTTCCCTTCTCCCGCCCCCACCCCCCCGAAACAAAATCCTGGCTACGTGCCTGCTGGAGAAGCTCGCGCCAGCAAAATGAAGAAAAGCGCTAAAGGTAATGTTTTTTTTTTTTTTTTTTTTTTTTTGTAGTTTACTTTTTTGACTAGACTGGAGAGCGCGGGAAAATTTGAATATTGGTTGTGGTATAACCTTCACTTGCTGTCTTGTCAGGAGCTATTTTGAATTTGTGACCTTAGAGATAATAAATAGCAGGCCGCAGGCCGGAAAGAGTAAAGCATGGACGTTAAGAAAATGTGTTAAGTTTGGGTAGCTCAAATACAACAAGAGTTTAATTAAGCGTTTGACAGATGGTGAGGTTTGACAGATGGTGAGGTCTGACAGATGGTGAGGACAGATGGTGAGGCCTTACCGTTCATTCAGTCTATCTTCTCCGAAAGGACACCTTAGAGGCTCGGACGCCACACCTCAGCTGTCGCTATGTTTCACCTTATGGATCGCCTAAGTGTTAACAATCTTTTTTTCAGGCGTAAGAAAACGTGGTTGGAGGAAATGTGGGCTTCGCAATGTGGACCCACTCTCTTGTAAGCGACGTAGTAGCACTTGTATTTAAATGCACGATACTTCGGCACAGTGTGCGGCAAAATAAACAAAGAAACTCACTGCAGTTCGAGGGTCGTGAGCGCGGCGGCTGGTTTGGGAAGCATGGACCTAAGGAAGACCGTGAGGTCGCTGTTCTGGACTGTGACCGCCTGGAGGTTGGGCAGGGCCCCGAGCCAGTCCTCGTCCACGTATCCGATTGTCGAGGAGTGCACGACCACATGACGCACGCTCGCGGGGAGCTGGCCGAAGTCCCGCGTCAGATTCACCAGGCTCAGGTTGGAGAGGCTGACGTTGATCAGGTTGCTCAGGTCCTTGAGGATGACCCAGGACTCCGGGAGGCTGCTGCCATCGCTGAAGGTGATGCTCTCGAGGGACGCCTCGAGGCCGGCGAAAGGGTTGGATTCGGCGAAGGCAAACGACGCAACGCTCACGTTGCTCAGTTCGAGCGAGGTGGCGCTCACGTCCACGAAGGCCCCCGACGGCAGGGCGTCGAGCCGCGAGTCCTTGAGCAGAAAGCTGAGCGTCGGGTGCGACAGCGGCCGCTGGATGAAGTGCTCGAAGTCGCTGGGGCTGCCGAAGTGCGAGCAGGTCACCGAGGCCGACGTGTTGCGGCTCGAGATGTGGCAGGACGGCGACGACGACGCGACTGCCCGCAGGCTCCACACGACCAAGCACAGCGTCAGTCCGCGTGGCGCCATGGTGCCAGACTGTCTGAAGAGGAGTAGATTGCGGCGCCCGAGATACGCGCCGGAAAGGTTACACCCTTGGCGGCCTGATAAGCGCCGGCCACTTCGCACGGGGAAATCCCGAACGCTCCTCGAAATGTTTCGCGCCGCGGGGCAATTGGGGCATGGAGACACTCGATCGCCCGTTTCCAAGCGCTGTTGAAACCGGCCCACGTCAACAGCCCCGATCGGTGGCGTAACTCTGACGCCCGCCCGAAAGAGCCTCCGAACCGCCGCTGCCCGGCTCGCTCGTTGACGCGGGCCCGCTGGCACGGCCGCAGTGGGGGACCTCGAGGACGCTGGACAGCCGCGCGGGGAACTTTCCGCCGAGTGCGTAGCCGGCGGCGTAGGGGGCTCCGGAGCTGTCAACGTCGGAGGGGCGTCGCGCTAGCGCCAAGTGACGGGAACCTGGCTCATTGCGAAAGCGGCGGCTCAGGTTCCCCTTCACAGGGTCGCGGTGTCTTCGAAGAAAAGGGGAGGACGGTGCAAGCTGGCGAAATCGCTGCATTGTCAAAGGCCAAATGGAGCAACAAGCAGTGTGAGAAACACTTGTTTTCACACTTCCTGAGTGACGTTTGTTTCTTTTATTTAATTCAATACATAGAAGCGAAAGTGGGCTCGTAATTGATTAAATTATTAAGTTTTAGCATGTCTGAAGCTTGGCAGGGAATGTACTTGAACACGACAAATTAAGTACTCAAATTGAATATACACCGTACCAGTCTCATTTGCAAAGGGCCCAAAACCAATAGCAGTGTTTCGTCATCTTTTATGCTATGGAAAACTGGATATCACTTTTTTATATTTTACAAGATATTAGACACTTATCACGCTTTGAATAATTTGCATTTTGTAGAAAATAAATTCACATAGCTTTTTTTCTCCTCTGGCCTTGAAAATGAGATTAATTAAGACGCCCTAATTTCTTGAGAGGCAAAACATAGTCTAAAAATTCAAATAACAAAACTTCAAATTTGAGCTATCACTTTGCACAGCCTTTGATAACCAAGCTGTATTGTTCATCGCTTCATTTTTCACTTGTACTAGTTCATTGTTTACTAACAAATTTTCCAATCTACTGTAAGTGCCCGTTTTTTTCTATTTTTTTTTTAAAGTAGCAATTTGTTTATTTAGCAGGTTGATCTTTTTAACCAACTGTTCTCTTTCTTTCTCTCTCGTTTCCCTAGCATATATAATACTGTTTACGCATTTCGTTTGTTCGAGCAGCAGATGTTGATGAACCTCCTCCATTGCGCACTCCGGTCCGGGTTGCATTCGAAAAATTGCATTTCGAAACCTTCTGATTGAAGGTGCAAATTCAATACGCTTCATTTCGAGGAAAGCCCTCAACGTCGTCCTGCCCTCGGCGTTTCCTGTATACCCTCGTCAATAGTCGCCGTTAGCATTGGAACGATCAAGGCTCATAAGCTGTCGCATCTCCAGGTAGATTAAAACTTCAGAAGGCAGCAATGTGATTGCTGCGCCAAAGCGCTAACCCTGCTACATCCTACTACATTTCACCGAAATAGGAGACATTTGCGCCAACATTGCCAAAATTTTATTTCGCTTTACCAATACAGAAACTAAAATGTCAGGCCGCTTCAATCGTCGTTACACTCCAGGGTCGGGATAGTAAGGTTACGGAAATTTTTAAAACTTTCGCTTATAGCTTGAAATAAATTTTGATTTGATACGATCTCCGTTTCGAACATTACTCAGTACTTGGAATTTTGCAAATATTTTTCATTTTGGGAGGTCTGTTCGGGCGGTTTAAGTAGCTCCGTTGACTGCGCTTGTCACCGCGCACTGGTGCACTGCTGGGAAGTTGCAACCGCGGAGTAGACATCGCAGTTTTGTTTCGCTTCCCCGCCACCGCAGTGTTATGTCAAGGTGTAAAACATTATTTCAAGGTGGCATGGTGCACCACCGCGCGCGCGTCGTGCATTTAAAAAAAAAAAAAAGGTGAAAAGTTAAATTTTTTAAATGCTGTTTGACAACATATAAGTGGCAGTAAAATTCAGAAAATAAAATTGCGGTCAGTTTATATGCTGGACTTCGACATTTTGAGAAGTTGCATACATTATTAGTACCGGTCGTTTTGTTTGTTTTTTAACGTTGAGTTTTATATCTTGATACTTCGTATTTTGGTATCGAGAAAGGGTCAGTGAATCATGTTGATTAGCTGTAGCCGGGTTGGACCATAGGTCTAGTTTTAAGTTTATTTAGTACCTCTAAATAGGCTGTTCCCAGATACAGTCACAAATGTAAACTAGATTAGCATAGTAAAGGAATGAAAGTTCGGGAAGAACATTATCGAGTTCAGCTGGATTTTTAAGGCACATTTATTATCCACAGGCAGGCATTGCACCATCGCGAACATCTATCTACATGTAAGAGGTCATTATTGCTCAGTCTTGCCATGTACTTATGCTTTGCAATTGATGCTCAGAGGTGGTTACAAAGAAGTGAGAAGGCGATGATGGGCTGCATTTTATTTGCAGGAGCAAAAACATAAATCTTAACATATTTTTCGCAGTAGAATTAATAAGGATAAAATAGATACGCTCTAACAGTGCTCTTTGTTCTTCCAAATTGAACTTTTGGCTGCTTCAAGCGGTGCTGCAAACTAACTCGAATCAATCCAATCACTAGAATGGTACTTATTGAGACTCCGTATAAAATTGACACACCATCGGCAGTATTATTTATGAAGTGAATGAAACACATAAACAACTATATATTTGTTACCTTTTAGCGTTTTTTTGTTTATTGGGTGTGTGTGAGACATTTGGAAACCATCTTTGATATCTGTTATGCTTTACCTTTCAGCGTTTTTGTGTTTATTGACATTTGATAAATATTTGTATGCGTTTTATTCACTGTATAAGTGATACTGCTCCGTCCCTCTGATAACAAATTGATTATAGGTTACTAATATCGATCTCGGTAATTGGATGTCATATTTTGATATGGTAAACATATGTAGTGCCTACAGGTAAATAAAATTTAGTACCTTACTTTTTTGAACTACAGACTACAGAGTGCAAACGATTACGTATTAACTGGTCAATTTTGGAACCTTTCGTGAAGTGCGTGACTTTAAAATAAATGTGTTACCTCTTATATAAATAGTTTACTGTTATTGATTCCTGCTGGATTATGTTTAATTTTACGCCTTGATTTGTCCCTTTATTTGTCCAACGTGTTATGTGTTAAACTTTTTTTTGTCTTGCTTAGGTATATGGTGTGCGACCCGGGTCCGTGTTGTAGCAAGCAACCCCATATAAAACACATTCGTGTGCAATGCGTATAATTCATATTTATGATAAAATGTGAAGGTAAGTTCTACAGCATAAATTGTTTTTTTAAGACCCCTGTAGAGGTGGTAGCTTTTATTTATTACTCTTTTTCTCCACCCACAGGATGGCATACCCCGCCCTCACGGCGCCTCGGTCGGGAATGGGGAGGCGCTTTGGGAGTCGAGTGTCGCGCTTCAAGGGGCCCCGTGCCGTTACAAGTCGGAATTCTTCTTGTTTATGACTTTTTTCCGGTATCGGGGAAATGGCCGCGGGCACGTCGCCCTCTTCGTTGCATTTCATGCGGAGCCCCGGTTTTCGAACCCACGTGAAGCTGCTGTCTCAGCGCCACGTACGTCCACCCCTTGACCCTGAAACGCGCGGCGAGACGTAAAGGTTTGCCGGGGAACCCACGGTCGAGACATTAACACGTCACCGGTCGCCAAGTCGTTTGCTGGGAGACAAAGTGCTTCAGAGCTCTCGAAGTCGTGTTTCGGAACTCTTCCGTGACGCCCGGGGACCAGGCGCTCCCTATATATTCTGCATGTGCCTGGCGTGTCTTTCTTTTTACTTTGTTGCCAACGGCCTTTAGCGGTGGCATTGACGTGCCCCAGCCGACATGTCTCGATGGTTCTTGCCGTTCGCGAATTTTTATCTTCTGTGGCAGATAGGAAAGCCATAAGTCTTATTTTATCCTCGGCTTCTGAAAACCAAGGCTCGGCTTATGGTTCACTCCCGGAGCAATGACCTCTCACCCGATGGGTCGAAAGTGCGCTGTGTGTAGGCGTTGTAGTTTGGTTCCTCCAGCCAATGGGACCAGGGTCGAACCCTTATTGGCCTGCGCAGGTTCGAGCACGCTGTTTTAGACCCTGGTCGGACAGGGGAATCTTTGAGTTCTGGAACGGGCTCGTGAGCGACCCCACTGACGTTCAGCTCCCGCGGTGCGCCGCGTTACCTGTCGTGCGCGACAGCGTCTTCGTCTTCGCGGCTACAAGGTAGTCGCCGACCTTACCGTGCGCGGTAGGATCATCTGACGCCGAGGCGCCTCAGTCTGTAAGCCGTGCGCGGCAGTTTATTACAGCGCGGAATCTGTTCGTACTTGTCTTTTATGTAACTGATTCTTTTTTTTAATCGAAGTAAAGTTTTGTTTAACTCGTTAACCCTCCCAGTTGTCGGTCGCCTCTGCATCACCACCAACGCATCCAGCCCTCCAGCAACTGTCTTCATTCACGATCCCCCGTCTTCGACGGCAACTTCAAGGTGGTCCATCGAGGTCGGGGAAAACAACCTTCCTAACATCTACTGCCCCTACCCCAAAATTCTTGTCCGTCCGTTCATTCCTGCATTCTCTTCTATATTTAGTGGAAAAAGTGAATTATAGTTCAAGTCACGTGAGGTCAGTTCATGTCACGTGACCTTACGCCACGTGACCCTTTCGTCAATTCTTTTTTTTAAATATCGGTGATGAAATTCATGTTACGGGACCTGACGTCACGTGACCCTTTCGCCAATTTTTTTTTAAATATCGGTGATGAAATTCATGTTACGGGACCTGACGTCACGTGACCCTTTCGCCAATTTTTTTTTTTAAATATCGGGGATGAAATTCATGTTACGGGACCTGACGTCACGTGACCCTTTCACCAATATTTTTTTTCAAATATCGGTGATGAAATTCATGTTACGGGACCTAACGTCACGTGACCCTTTCGCCAATTTTTTTTTTAAATATCGGTGATGAAATTTATGTTACGGGACCTGACGTCACGTGACCCTTTCGCCAATTTTTTTTTTAAATATCGGGGATGAAATTCATGTTACGGGACCTGACGTCACGTGACCCTTTCACCAATTTTTTTTTAAATATCGGTGATGAAATTCATGTTACGGGACCTGACGTCACGTGACCCTTTCGCCAATTTTTTTTTTAAATATCGGTGATGAAATTCATGTTACGGGACCTGACGTCACGTAACCTATACACTATTTCAGTTTCCCTCTTAAAATTTGTAGCAAAATTGACG